TACTCATGGCCATTGATCAATGGTCATGAGAATTTGCATAATTACGATTAAGGAACTGACCTCCCAGCCCATTGGTTTCAGTCATTATGCAAATGTAATGTTTATAAGATTTGGGGAAACCTGCAGTCAGCTGAGACTGAAGAAGTCACTTGGATGAGTGACGAAACGTTTCTCCCACAAACGCTACGTCCACATGAACAGAATCAACTTTTGGAGATATAAAGGAGAACATCACAGGATGATACCTGCAGGTCTGACAGCAGCAGGTGTATCACTCCTGTTTCTACCTGGAGACAGCAGTCGCCTCATTGTTCTGACACACAACACAAAACTATCCACAACACTACACACTAACTACACAAGACAACACATTAACTACACACTACAAACACGCTAAACGTCGCAAATCTCTCTTCCTAAACAACCAAATGTCGTATTGCCATATCATTTTTGATTGGTCGACATGGTGAATTTTTCCACTAACACAAGAGGGCTGTTTTTTGATTTGGTTTGGGGTTTTCTTTATTTTTTGCTCATAAGCAGAGAGTGCTCGCTGCGCTGTCCTTAGACATTAAACGTGACGAAACTATTGAGGAAAAAACGCTGCATATATATTGTTTATCACGACTCAGGTTTTACGTGGCCTATCAACACAATTTATAAACTAGTATATATCACCTTGTTGCTTTGTCTTTAAGTGGTCATGTGATTGGCTTACCACGACTACTTTATTCTTCCTCAGTCAAACAGCAGCACTCATGCGATTGTTTTGCCCCCTTAGCTCCAGGTGTTGTGCCAAAAAGTTATCGTCGGGCAGAAAGTGATTGCCGTCTGCAGGAGCGCGCAGCCGCTTAAAGGTGTAGCGCCCAGATTACTTACAGCTACTTCCGTACAACTGATGCAGTAAGCTGAGCACAGCTTCAACCGTCTGTTGAAAAATAGTAACGCGACCGCACCGAATTTTCTTGTTAGTAACAGTAACGGCGTTGTAACGACAGAAATAGTAATTAGTTAGATTACTCGTTACTGAAAAAAGTAACGCCGTTATTCCCATCACTGCAAAACACACACACACAAATACACCAACACAGTAACGACTAAAGTGTTGTGTTGTTGCACTTTGCCAGCTTTTAAAACACAACCTCCAGCAGCTTGTTCATGCCCCGCCTCCCTTTAGCAGCGGTGCCCGGAGACACATCTGTCTGACAGCGATGACTGGACTTAAGGTCGGAATGGAAACTCCCCCCCACACACACACCGCACTAGCACTATTAAAAGCGTGCACAGCATTTGTCATATCATAATAATTTATCATATTAATAAGTGCGCGTGCAAACACAGGTTAGTGTTGTTTTCTGTCACGCGCCACCTTTATGGTTTCGCTTGAATATAATTAACTTACCTGATTTCTAAACGGAGCTCGCTTTGATATTCTTCTTAATGCCAGCTGGGATGTGCTGTTCTCCTATTAGCACACTTTCTTTAGCATACTGTATCAAAGCCAGCAAACGCACTATTATTTCTTTCAGTCGTGATTAACTGACTACGGTGAGCTGCTGTCGCTTACTTCGCACCTGTTCCCACGACTTCTTCCCGGTTTCTCGCTCCTCACCTCGCGCACACCTGACCAGCCAATCATGGCATTACATAAGTTTCAAACTTCCGGACAAGTGTTTCTCAATAAGTTAGCAGTAAAAGGTTCAATGCGTAAAATACTAGATCCATGATTCAGCTTTGCGTTCACCAGTCAGTCTTTAAAAGGCGTGTTTTTCTCACGGGTCACTTTATGACAAGATGCAGCGTGGAAGGTAATTTCACTATCAGGGTCTCACATGGCTTGTCAGACCAATCAGCTGGCTAATCACTGGCTCAAAGCAGACTGTAAACTGCTCTCCTTTTAGTGTCACTCAGAGTTAATGAGAAGCAAGTAACTGTCAATATTTAGCCTGCAGCGTCCATCGACCTCCACACTTTGACTTTGTGTGCACGGCTGCAGGCAAATAACTGAACAACATAAGCATAAAAAAACAAAACCAGGCATCAACATACTACATCAAAAATAATGAAAAACTAAAAACAGAAGACTTTCTTCTTTTTTGGACTTTATTAATGAAGACCGACACAGGATGCTCACATGGCTGCGACATATTAAAATTCAGATCAGGAAATTGGATGTTAACATGAAAAAGTGCAAGTCAAATAAAACTACAACGATGTAGAAATAATAAAAATAAAATTATAAATCACATTTTATTTTCACCACAGATATCAAAGATCAGCCACTCGGGAAGAGCAGCAAAGCAGACTTTTTCAATATCACAACGAAGTGAATCTGCTAAAAACAGCTGAAGACACTTTGGTCCAATCTGTGCAACTGAATACAGATTCATTTTGTTCCACTGATAATTTACTGCTGTACAAACATAATTTTAACTTGCATCAGAACAATCACAACAATCATGATACCGAATAACACTGTTTACAAGTTACTGGTCGTGTTCCACAACTAAAAGTAACTCAAATACTGAGAAGCTCCTGATGCATTGCTGATGAGAATCAGTTATTACAAACTGGAAGCTTTGCAACACGTGTGTGTGAGCAAAGACAAGACTGTGGTCCAAGGCCCTTTCTCATTATAAACAAAGCAGTTCTTCATAAAGTGTTTTGTTAAAAATATCCTGTGACTCTTGCTTGACTTCTGTTCAGTGCCTCAGAGAGGATATGAAAATGTTCCCACCACAAAAAGGAAGCGCTCTGCACTAGAAGGCTGTGGTGGGTCAGCTGTGGCAGTAGGAGCAGTGGATCCCCCCTGTCAGGTCAGTGATGGTTCCCTCTCTAACCAGTCTTTGCAAGAGCTCAGTCTCTCTGTTCACGTTGTGCATGCTCTGCTCCAGCATGGCACTCATAGGCAGCTGGTCATAGTAGTGCAGTGGCGCCCCGTGCTGGGAGAGGTTGTAGCCAAAGCCTGCCAGGCTGACCTCGTCACACAGCAGGCTAGCTAGAGTCAGCGCAGACACACCTAGAGTGGGAATGTTCTGCAAATATATGTAAAAAAAGGGTTAAACTTTCTTAAAGAGTAAAGACGTTTGTTTCTGTCTTCCTGTTGCAGATTTTTCACATCATTTTATTTTCTAAGCAAACTGATTATGGTTGAAGTAAAGAAGGAAAATGGACAAGAGTGAGACACCGGCAAAGTCAAAGTAATATAGGCCATAATAAATAAACTATGACTTAGCATACTGTAATATGCACAGACAGGTAAACCGATAGTATCACGATATTAGCCTTTTGTTAACACCTTTCCCATGTCTGCCTGTAGCTCATGAGAACAGCAGCTCAGTGAGCTCCATTAGAAACCTCAGCGCTGAGTAACAACTTTATTCTTGTTCAGAATGACTTTTTATACTCCAACAGAGTCGAAGACAGAGGTTAACATAACTTGACACACAGAACCACTTCTAAGCTTTTATTTTCTAATTTCACTAATCTGATCATTACAACTTAAATGAGCTCAAATCAGAAATGGTCACATCTGCTGCTGTTAGATAGTACTGCAATAGTCAAAAGTGACCACAATGGGGAGTTGCTCCAACACAACAGACTGCAGGCTGGCTACAGCAGGCATGACGATTAAACCTGACACTTGGCACAGTGGCAGATGGACAAAGGGATGTTTTACTGTGCAAACAGATATAACTTGTTCTTTATTAGAAGGTTTCATTCCTAAGCTGGGCTAGCCCGTCTTTCTACGTGAAAAATAATTTAAAAAAAAATACACAATACAAAGGCATTTCAAAAACGACTTCAATGAATCAGTAGTTTAAAAAGTATTTTTAAAACTGACTTCAGTTTTCACTTTAACCAGGGGTGGGGGAACTCCAGGCCTGAGTGCAGGTGTCCTGAATTGCATGGCTAAATTACTCAGCATGTCTTGTTCCCCAGAGGCCTGGTAATGAACTAAGATCTAAAGATCTAAAACCAGAAGGACACCAGCCCTCGAGGCCTGGAGTTCCCTGCTTTATACCAGATTTACGAACAGACACACTTTCACTTAATGTGTGGTATGTGAATCATCAATTACCTGGTCCCAGCCCCACAGGCGTGGCCTGGGAAGAGGATATTTCAGGAGGTCCAGTGCAGTCTCTCTGATCACATGTGGGTTTAGAAGTCTGAACTTACTGGCTTTGAGAGGGATTCTATCTGGAACCTTCTGCCAGAAAAAGAACCAATCCCACAGAGGCTGCAACACAAAGCACAAACTGTTGGTTTCTCAACAGCTCAGAACACTGACTCACAAGAAAACAGCAGTGAGATCTGAGACTGTGTCACACTTTCACGTAGAAGATGATACTGAGGAATTCACAAGTTGACAATGACTTATGGAGCTAGCAACGGAGACGTTACATAATCCAAGAGATCCATGTGATTAAACCACAGGTAGGGGAGGAATTCCTGGAAGCACACTTCAGCCAGACGTCTCACATATGTCTGATAAGAGCTTTTCTGATTTTTAAAAATGTCTCTCGTGCTTAGAGGCTGTTTGTACTGCACATGATTTTTATTTTTATCTAATACTTTTTAAAATTTATTTTCTTCAAAGCTTGCTTTTATATTAAAATATGAGAATTGATTTCTAATCTTCACCTTACAGACAATCCCAAACTGTGCTATTACAGTGCTGCTACTATTTCCATTCAGTTTAACAGGATCATTCTAACATCTAACTGCATTTAAACATCTCAGTGTTTTTGACTCGGTGCAGCCATCATTATATTTATAAGTAGTCAGATTTTCCATATTTATCTGTTTCTCCAGGGTGTATTCTCCAAGATGGCATATTCTTAAATAATATAGCTTTAATCCAAGAACACGAGCTGATTTATTCGTGTGAAGGTGGATTGCTGGTTAGTTTGATCAGATGAATTCAGCAGTGCTACTCACCACAGAGAGCTTGTTGATCATAGCAGAGCTCCAGCTGATGTCTCCGCTTTTATACACCACCGTCACAAACAGAGTGTCTGGGTCTGTGTCAGCCCAGCTAAGAGGCGTGCCCTCCGGGTAACTCATCCTGATGGTGGTTCGATTCCCAACGTCAATGCTGAACTTTCCCAGTGGACCTCTGTTTAACCTGAGGGACAAAGAGCCAACAGCCGAATGACTTTCTATAGTAATATTAGTATGAAATCAAGAAACACCCCACGATATGATCCATCCATTCGCTTCCGCTTATCCTTTTCAGGGTCGCGGGGGTGCTGGAGCCTATCCCAGCTGTCATAGGGCGAGAGGTGGGGTACACCCTGGACTGGTCACCAGTCTGTCCAAGGGCCAACACACAGAGACAGACAACCACTGGCGCTCACATTCACACCTATGGGCAATTTGGATTAATCAATTAACCTATCCCCACCAACTGCATGTCTTTGGACTGTGGGAGGAAGCCAGAGTACCCGGAGGGAACCCACGCAAACACGGGGAGAACACACTCCACACAGAAAGCCCCCGGCCTGATGGTGGAACTGAACTCAGGACCTTCTTGCTGTGCGGCAACAGTGCTAACCACCGTGCTGCCCCCCACGATATGATATTAATCCAATATTTCACTCACGTTGCGATATTATTGCATTTTTTAACAATTTACAATCCGCTGCTATCAGCCTGTGAATCTGTTGGTAATTACATGCAATACGTCTCTGCAGCCACTAACTGATAAACTGTCAAAGATCACATATCTGCTGCTGTCTTCATGGAAAGAAAGTCACATCTAACTATTACATTTGCACTCAGTAACCGTCCTGTTCTATAGGAATATTACCCGAATACAACAATAATTTGTTTAGTTAAATATCGATATTTGGTGTCACTGCCACCTCAAACATTGCAATACTATGCTGTATCGATTTTTTTTTACCTGGTCAAACGTGCATTCAATATGGTCACTGTTTAATCAAGTAGGCTGTTTATTTTGTTCAGGTTTACTCATCAAGCAACAATTCTGACCTGATAATGGTGTCAAAGCGGTCAATCACCGGGCCAAGCTCCAAGCCTTTGAGAATGCCTCCGTTTCCCATGACCAAACAGCGCTGACATTTCCCTGCAGCCTTCTCAGGCTGTGGTGAGTCTGAGGCTGGTAGCTGCAGAGAGAAATTCACACTATTACATCTGTGCTCTGAAAAAGACTGATGCACAGGCGCACAAGTCCGTGGCTTACCACTGACTTGTGGTATATACGTGCATTCAGCTGCAGTGGTATATGTTCTGCATAGTGTAAACCAGGGGTGTCGAACTCCAGGCCTCGAGGGCCGGTGTCCTGCAGGTTTTAGATCTCACCCTGGGTCAACACACCTGAGTCACCTGATTAGTTCATTACCAGGCTTCTGGAGAACTTCAACACATGTTGAGGAAGTAATTTAGCCATTTAAATCAGCTGTGTTGGATCAAGGACACATCTAAAACCTGCAGGACACCGGCCCTCGAGGCCTGGAGTTCGACACCTGTGGTGTAAAAGGAACACAAAAAAATAAGAGGAACACTTTCTAGCAAGAGTACGTCAAGTCAAGTGATGTCATTTAAACTTTTGGGGATACTGATGTGATCAGTGAAGCAGCAGAGGGGGTTGTTAATTACTTTCAGCTGCTCTTAATGAAATTAACAACAGGTGCTCCAGGGGAACAAAGAGACAACCGCAGGAGCAAGAGTGGTTCCACAGGTGGAGGCGCTCACATGTTTTCCCTCCTTATCTCTTCTCACTAGTTAGCTAGTTTTGCATTTGGATAAGATCAGTTTCAGGACACCAGCCATTGTCTCACTGCATGCAAGCACGTTGGGGCCATGCAAACTACTGAGGATCATTTTGAGTTGCTTAGCTGCTGCATCTTTTTTTTCCACCTTCATTTTTGGGTGTGTCTTTGAATTCAGCCCTCTGTAGGTTGATCATTTTCATCCCCCACCCTACTGAGAAGTGTTTATTATTTTTTGAGCAGTGGAAATCACTCAGATACTGAAGGATCTTAACCCCCCCGCCCAAAAAACAAAAAAAACAAAAAAACCTGCATTCACCAGTTTTTGCAGTTCTGCTACTTTGCTCTGAAGACCTCTGAACCCAAACGGCGGGGGATACAAGAAAAGGTCATCATTCAGCGGTTCATCTTTCCACAGGAAGGGCTGGACATTGTGACTGGAAGCAGGGAGATGAGTTAACAAGCTCTGTCTGGTGCTGCCAGGGCGACACTGACTCTCTAAGACTCTCTGCACATATTCATGCACCAGCTGCAGGAAGAAGAAAGGAAAGACAGTGTTGGGAAGGTTACTTTTAAAATGTATTCCACTACAGATTACAGATTACATGCCCCAAAATGTATTTTGTAACGCATTCAGTTACGTTACTCAATGAGAGTAACGTATTCTGAATACTTTGGATTACTTAATATATTATCATGCTTTTTTACAACTACATGAATGTCCTATTGCTGTGTGATTTATTACTATTACTGAAAGTTACTCTCCATACCAACACCAACTAGATGTTTAAATCTTAATATAAATGAATAACAGTAGGTGGAGATTAGGTAAGGCTGCACTTTTTGCAGGGATCTCGTATAGAAAACTATTCGGCGCGTATATAAAACAGGTCCGCGGCTCTGAACTGTAGTAAAGGGACCTCTGACTAATACGTCGGGTTCGTGTCGGGCTCGTAGCTGAAAACTAGCTTTACTTTGTTGTCTGGGTCAAATTTGCTAGCGAGAGACAGAGAGAGGCGTTGAAAGGCTGCTCCAACGTAACTTATTGTTTCAGAGCAAAACAGGAACACAGCGTACAGTCGAGTCTTAACAGCTTACTTACAACTGGGCTACACTGGGCTGCATTCTTTAGGGCGATGCCTGTAACTCTCTGACTTCATAATTTTGAATAACAATTAAAAAAAATATTTCTTCACATCTTTCTGTGGGCCGCAGTAGACGTGACATGGGCCGTGAGATTGTGACACAGGCATTAAAGCCTCTTAATGCGTGTTTTGTTTGGATTTCCACCGGCGTGGAATTCCCAAAAAATAGAGAGATCATAGCCGAACATATGAAACAGGAAAAGACCGCTGTGTAATCCATTTATTTCAACAAAGTAACTGTATTCTGAATACCACATTTTTAAACGGTAACTGTAACAGAATACAGTTAGTCATATTTCGTATTTTAAATACGTAACAGCAGACCGTTTTCATCTTAGAAAATAAAATAATGTCAAAAAGGGAATGAAAGTTTAACTGATTGAAAGACATATGGATCTGATAGATGGGATTATGTAAAAAGCTGAATGCAACACAACAAGCTGTCTGCACACCAAGTAAAAAGTGTAATGCAGCACTTCACATCCGGGGCGCTTATCTAATTTCATGACCTGGCTCAGGTTTATAAAAAAACAAAGCGGCTTCACGTCTTCTGTTACAGAGGCTCGTTCTCTTGTGGTTTTTGCATCTATATCAGAACAACAGCGCAGACACACAGGACAGTGTCAGCTCAGTTTCAGGGCCAGTTAATGAAACGATGAACAACTAGATCAGGTTTAATGTGTAAAAAAAACTGGCACCATTAGCTCACGTTACGGCTGCAGTTATAGATTATTTTCAAAATTGAGTAATCAATTAATTATTCCATTGATTAATTGAGCAATAGGTTAAGAAATACTTGTGTTATTATTGAGAAAATGCAAAATATGTAAAAAAAACCCTCAAACAAAGTCAAAGGTCAAATAAGATCTATCCAAATTTAAACAAATCTAAACTATATTAGTGTTTTTGCACTGCTGCTTTACAGGATACAGACAATGCTGGACAACACCTCCCACCCACTCCATGACATGCTGGCCAGTCACAGGAGCGCGCACTGAGACTATTCATATTACCACTGAATAACACAGGAAATCATCTTTCTGTACAACTTCTCCATTTAATGTACAGTTGCACCCTCTCCATGCTCTATAGTGAAAATAACATAAGTTTTACCAGTTAGAGTAAAATATCAATATATATATATATATATATATA